CTCAGTGCCATGACTCATAACTGCTGGGAGGAGACTCTCAAGTGGCAAGAGTTTCCTAGTCCCTGTGAAAACTGATCACTCCTCTGCCTTTCTCCCCTAAAGCTGAAGATTCCCCAAGATGCCATGTTCTATACCACGAACTGTACTTCCAAGCATGACTTTGTCCTCAAGAAACAGACCTTCAACAAACAAATCCCACATTAAGCAAATTGTCAAAATTGCCATGAACATTGTCTGAGAGCCAGAGGCTTGGAAGCTGTAGCCTAGAGTAACCAGGGTCCATGTAGGTGCCTTCTTCAAATTTGCCAACCCATGCCACCCCCCAGATTTCAGTTTCATCTCAAACTTTTCCTGCTGCCAGTGGTGACACCTGCGATTGGACAGGCCAACCTAGACTCCAAGGATCACTGGGTACCTTTGACACCTCTGGACTCTGGTCCAAAGGCCTAACTGACTTTTTCCAAGGTTGGCTGTCAGATGGCATGGTGTCTTACTTGCTTCCTGGTACTGCACTCCACCTACTTCTTTGGTGCCTTTCCATATGCAGGTTACTGCCACTTGTTCCTATGAGTGCCCCAAGGCAACCACTCATGCAGCCTAGCTGATTGCTGTAATTCTCTCTTCACACCCACAGGCACTGGCCTATGACCTTTATGGTCTGAACTCTACACTTTGCATACATTTTTGTAGCCTCTACACTCTTCACAGACTCTTCACAGAGTACTCTTCACTCCATAACACACAGTCACATTGGTGCCAATCTCATGTCATTGAAAGTGTCATACACTTCTGCATCCTGGGCAGTGGAAGACCACACAAGAGAAATGTTTGGGGAGAGAGTGCAGATGCCTGAATAATTCTATGAAAAGCATATAAAAATATTTTTTGCTAATTGGTCTGATAGAATCACTGTTTGCTACAAATAGAATATTAATGTTATATTAAAGTGATTTTTTCACTATAGCATAGTTAGGATTTTATTCTTTCATCTCCTGTGTTACTATTGAAACAGAGGCACTCACATTTTGTAAACAAATAAGGTATCTTCCAGATTCCTATTTAATGCAGAAGTAGGAAAAGCCAGCCACCTTTGTCAGGCATGGTGAAGGAAACCTATCCACCTTGCAAGCATTCATTTCATATTATTAAACTCGTTGCACCAGATGCCTGTAATCTTAGCTACTCAGGAGGCAGAGATCAGGATGATCGAGGATTAAGCCAACCAGGACAAACAGTTCATGAGACCCTGTCTCAAAAAAAACCCACCAAAAAAAATGGCTGGTGGAGTGGCTCATGGTGTAGGCCCTGAGTTCATGCCCCAATACTGCCAAAAAAAGTCAAAACAAAAAAGACTTCAGAAGAAGTCACAATAGATGTAGAAATAAGAACAACCTAATGCAAATTGGAAGCAGGATGAAAATGCTCCATAAATCAGGAATAGAAAAGAATTTCATGACCCAAAATGTATTTTTTTTCAATTTAGTCAGGGAGCAGAACTCTTTGCTCAAAACACTTAGGAAGTATTATGAGCTCACTGAAGCCCCTAAATTCAGGTTGCATTTCAGGATGCAGAGAAGGAGCTTTTGGTAGAGTGCACAGATCACACAAACATCCACTTCCAGGTTCCCATATATTGTGCAGCTCCAGTAGAGCTTCTGAGCACAGGCATGTGCCTCAGTGTCCACAGGGCACAAACCTATCCAAGCCCTGGAAACAGAATTTCATATTGAAAGTGGCTGTGTCAATGTGGAAGAACTGAGAAGTCACTGGGGATCAGGAACAAACTGGAGCCAGCAATGCCCCAATAATTAAGCATCCTGGGCTTGGGACGATACTTGCAGATACTCACTCAAGACAGGAGACAATATTGATTTCCATTCTACCTCTCCTCATCCCAGTGACTGAATTTGGAAGAGGAATGTCCATGTGAGACCAGGAGCCATTTGAGACCCAGAAACTCTGGGCAATAGAACAGGACAACTTGTCCCTAATCCAAGACACTAAGCTGTCCATAGGTAAAAACTTTCACAAGTACCCCAGTGTGGAGGATGGGCAGGGTAATCATTGTAACATAATAATGCTGAAAAAGAGGTTCTAGGTATTTGCATAAGTGTAACTCAGAAACTGCATATGTGCATTTAGATAAGCATTGATCCTCAATCTCCTGTTATTTACTCCTTTGGATTTCAGTCATCTCTCCTAACAAGTGGCATGTTGCCTTCCCTCATTATGCAAGGTCCTATATGCATGAATTCAAACAACTGAGAGCCGTAAATATTAAAATGAGCCAGGCACAATTGTTCTCTTTCCTTCTACTTGAAAGGCAGTGATCAGAATGTTTGAGATTTAAGGTCAGCATGGGCAAAATGTTAGCAAGACTCCCATCACACACACAAAAAAACCTGGCACTTAAAAAAAATCCAAAAGACTCTTGCTGCAAGCAGACTTCTTGTCATTATTCCCAAAGCAATGCAATATGACTATTTACATAGTGTTTACATTACATTAAATGCAAATAATCCAAAGATGATTTAAAGTACATGAAAAGGGCTGGTGGAGTGGCTCAAGTGGTAGAGTGCCTGCCTAGCAAGCACGAGACCCTGAGCTCAAACCCTATTCACCATCCCCCCCAAAAAAATTCCCATAACGTGATGAAAGGATGTGCATGGTCTCCATGCAATTAACCCTATTTTATATAAAGTACTTGAGAATTCAAGGATGTTAGTACCCACAGGGGGTCTGGGACCTTGATAGCTTCAGGTAGCAAGGGGTGAATATACAGAATTTGAGAAATTCATCAGAAAAATATGCTTCCTGGCACAATCATCAGATTTCTTATTTAGTGTCATGAAATCTGACACCTCTAGAATTGATATCTGACAATATCCCCTAGAAATAGTTCAAATGCTCAGCAAAGCATTCTTCATGAAAATTCCAATCAGGATAACAAACTTGAAAAAATCCTCTAACAACCTGAAAAAACAAAATCTCCTGTGTGTTTAATCCATAACTCCTTACCTCCAAATGCAACCCAGTTTCCAAAATGATTTTGCAAAATGTGCTTCAAGTCAAACAAAAAGACGTTTTGGGTAGCAGTTTTATTGACCATTTTTACACCATCTTGTCCCACGGGTACACACAGCCAGAACTCAGGATTTCCCAAGGCTTTTCTTGATGAAGTATCCCACCAGATGCTGGGGCAACTGTTGATATTCAGCCAGCAACTCATGTGAACAGCTGATCTGGTCCCGTTACAGCTCGTCCAGGAGGAAGAACACACCATTGCCATTGTGGAGGGAAAATACCACATCAAGGCAAAGTGCCAAATGTCTAACACAGTCCAGTAATAAGGAAGGATGGAACGGGAAGCCCTCAGAATCTAACATTGCTACCCCTCAGAAAACCAGTTGTTTCCAGGGTCATAATATAGACATTTTTAAAAATTCTTATGACATTTTTTTGTGTGTGTGAGCAGTTTTTTCAAGATAGGATCTTGTGAACTATTGTCTAAGCTGGCTTTGAACCATGATCATCCTGATCTCTGCCTACTGAGTAACTAGGATTACAGGCATGAGCCACCAGTGCCTGGCTTAACATTTGTTAATAACTGACACATTATAACCATACACAATTATATGGTATGGTGTGACATTTCAACCTGTGTATAAAATGTGTAATAATTTTATAATGGTATTTAGCACATCCATCTTGCACATTTATCATTACTTTGTGTTGAGTGTATTCACAGTTATCCACTTGCTATTTTCAAATATATAATTAATTCCTGCCAGACATAGTTACCCTCCTTCTAATATAGGAATCTGGACATGACTAACCCTGTTGTTTATAGGTAAGTTAACATATGGAAATGAAAACTAAGATAACACCTAGTACCCAAAACTACTTTGTGTGGTCATAATTTAATGACAGAGTACTGTCCCATCTGCCATGGGTAGTACTATTCTTTGGTGCCAAACTAGTTCAAGTTGTGGGACAACATTCTATGTAATCTTATTAAATTTCCATTGATCTCATTAAGGTTCATCATAAAGAAGAAGGAAAAATAAAGGTTAATCCAAAATGATGTTCATTACATGTACGGAAATTTCATGTTTATTTTTATTTTTATATTTATTATGGATTTCCTATTTTCTTTTTCACTTTTTTATTGCTTTCTTGGGTGGGGGTACATTGTGTCATTGAAAAAAGTTCTTACAATTTATCAAAAATATCATATTTGAATTCATCCCATCCACCACATCCTTTATCCTCCCTCTTCCCATGCCTGAAACAGTTTCATCAGGTCTCATTTTTGCCTTTGCATACACACATTCACAGTATAAGCACCATATTCACCCTTCTACCAACTTTCTCTGCCACCTCCCGCACCACTGCTTCCATGCTTTTTTAATGTTTAAAGAGTTATAAATCATTTCTTTTATCTTCAGTTTCCTTAAAATTTTATCACAGATTTGTTTGTTTATTTACTTTTTTGAAAAAGAACATGTTTTCTTGAAGGACACTTTGCAAATTGAAGATTTTGCATCTTTGAGAGATACCCACACACCATAGCTAACTCCCTTAAGCTCTTTCCAAGTATTGGCTACTTGGCACTAAATTGATCAGGTGAGTGGGAAGGATTCATGATCCATTTCACAAATGGGCCATGGGTTTCTGGTCACATGAGGGGGGGAAAATAAGAAGTTCAAACCATTTCAGTTCAAATTCATGCCCTCTTCAGCCCCCTATGCTGCCTTCCCCATAGTGTGGTAGGAGAAGTATGCATAGTGCCTGGAATTGCTTTCTCAAAGATAGCAGGATCCTGACTCCCTGGATGTGTGGTGCCGGGTGTGTTGTTCTGTGTAGTGCCCATTCTGAATAAAAGTTCATTGCCACTGAATTTCAGCAGGGAGTTATGTAGAAGGGTGCTGTGTCCTCTCTCATACAATAGGTCTGTTCAGGGCAAGGGAATTTACTTCTCTATCATTTTCTAGATGACAATGATGTTGCTGATTACTGGCCAGACTTTGAAGACCTCTGTTGAAAACTGTGCTCAGAGCATCCTTGCTTTCTGGTTACAGTTTGGGTGTGTTGGTAGAATCTCCTCTCAGATGATCACCTTCTGCAAGTGTGTGGCTGTAGAGCTGGGCATTGAATGTTCAGGGGAAGTGTGTCCCAACATCTGTGCAGGTACTGACCTCTATGCCCTGTATGTAGTTGGATCAGTGCTGAATGTAAGCATAATTTCATACCAATTCCTTGTGCTTAGTCTCTAGGCTCTTCCAGCCCTGCACCTGCCCCTCTACAAATAGATACCTAGTACCACAATACCTGCTTGCTGTAATTGGCCTTGAGGAAAGTGAGCTATCAGCAGTTGGAGGGGGGATAAATGGTACCTAATTCATGCCTTGAGGATCAGCCTCCTGGGTTCCTAATTTCACAAATGCAAATCTTAGTACATACATCTATCCACAGAAGGTGTATATGACAGGGGCAGGCAGTTAGGGAGCTGAGTTTTGTGGAAGGAGACCCTGGAGGGCCTGTCTGTCTGTACAAGTGTATAAGAAGAGTTAAAGGACCACTCCTTTCTGCCACAACAGATTGAGTGACACACTTCAACAGAAATCTTGGCTTTGATAAATCTTGACCTGGCAATGACAATGAGTACAGAAAACTCTTCAATGTTCTACCAATGAATAGTCCATTTTCTTTGGCCTCAGGCTTCCTAGTTTGAGCCATTCCACCAGCCCACATTTTCAGCTTTGATTTCCTTAGTCATTAGCAATATAGATGAAGAGTTACAAAGTTAGCAAGGACTCCTCTCCTCTGGAAAAGTGTCAGCAGACACCACTCAGTCTCCAGCATCTAGCATGCAACTGGCAGCCATGACATCATTTAGTTATAGTCTATGGAAGTATTTCCTGTGTCTAAGACACTGTACAAATCTTTTTCTTTTTTTCTCTAGTACTGTTGTTTTGAAATTTATTTTTTTATTGTTGTGCTGGGGTACATTGTGGCATTTACAAATGTTCTTACAATATATCACAATTGAATTCATCCCCTCTATCTTTCTCCTTTATTCCTTCTCCCCTATTCCTGGAATAGTTTCAGCAATTTTCATTTTTCCATTTGCATACATGTGTTCACAGTATTTGTACCATATTCACCCTCCTATACCATTTAACAACCACCACCTCGCCTTCCCACTGATAATGACTCCCATCCAAGGACCTATTCTGCCCTCCTACTTTGTGATTTTGTAAAAGAAAAAAATAGCATTTATGTTTGTGTAAGATAGCTACACAGGGAGTTTCCTTGTGACATGCCCATGTATATATGTATTATAACACAAATTGCTTTATCTCCTCTATTTTTCTCCTTTCTACATAAGTCCCCTCCTTATGGTGATTACAATAAGTTTAAAAATTCTATATTCATTCTTGTATAGGAGACAGTGTGACAAATTCTTAAAGGGTCCATTTCCTATGGGAGTCTGCCAATCCATGTGGAGGATGCCCAGGGCTTGTCACATAGAGCATTATGGAAGAAATCACTCTGTGAGAGACTTTGTCAGTGGGAGAGGGTGCATGCAGAGACCCTTAGAGAAGGAAATGGCAGAAGTTCAGATTTAATGGTATGGATGATTGGGGGTCCAGTCAGCTACCTAGTTTGGCTGAAATGGAGAAGATAGGGAGAAAAATGAAGAAGTAAAAGTGAAGCAGGGAGAATACAGTTTGCATTTGTTTGGGGCTTCAAATTCCAGAAGGAGATGTTTGTTTCACAGCAATAATGGCAGCTACTTTCCTGCTGAACTTCTGGTTCCTCCACTGCTACATGTTTGCAAGATCTTGTGGGTGAAATGAGGTCATGTTTATGACAGGTCTGTGTACACTAAGTTTCCTAGAGTGTTGATCATGTTTAAATCTATATTTTAAAGCTCTTCTATTAACATCACTATGAACTTGTTAGTTGAAGTGCATGACATGAAACATAAACCAGAATACAATAGTAACCCAAAATCATGGGGAGGTTGTGCTCGAAGCCCCCAGATTGATACCTGACACCCAGGAGAGTAGAAACCATATATGTACTGTTGCTTTCCTATTGATGCATACCCTTGATACATTCTAATGTGCAAAGTAGACACAGGAAGAGATGACCAACAAAAACTAATAATAAGATAGAATAGTTAGAAAAATGCACAGAAATAAAGTTAGGTGAATGTGATTTCCCTCTCTATCTTAATCTGTTTCTGTCTCTGAACATATCTCAGCACACTGTTCTAATACTTCCTGGTGACTGTGGGCAGCTAAAAGTGCACAAAACCAATCCTTTGATAAGGTGGGACTTCTTTTGGTTTTCATTTTATGGTTTTGTGTGTGTGTGTGAGAATGTCTCACTTTAAATCACAGACTGGCCTTGAATTCATAATCCTCCTGCTTCTGCCTCTAAAATGCTGGGATTACAGGCATGTGCCCCCTTGCCCAGCTGAGAAAGACTTCTCTGTTAATAAAGATACAACTGTGGACTTAGCTGTTTACATTTCTCTCTTGGTTCCAGCATGGTATGGGCATTCCTTCCATCACCATCATGATACAGGAACTCATCAAGCTGATGTACCATGCCAGGTGTTCCAACATCACCTTCATCTGCTTTGGCACTTCTGGTGGGATAGGTAAGGGCTGTGGAGCTGATTCTTCCCTGTGAGTGGATGACAGTCCAGAGATGCTTGTAGCTCCAGCACGGTATGTGATTGGGTACAAAGGGTGTGATACCCTTGATTTTCTTCAAGGAGAGCTTATTAACAGTAAATGGGAAAGGAAGCTTGTTTTGTTACATTTTGTGGATGGCATCCTCAAAGTGGGAACTCCAGAGATTGGTAGCAGAAAGTTGCCAGTCCTTGCACATACACAAGTGCATTCATCTTTGCTGCACACTCTGTGCCTTTCTATTTGCTTGATTTCCTATTTATTCTTTTCCATTCCCCCTTCTCCTCTGCCTCTCTCCTCTCCTTAGTTTGCTGCCATTACTCCTTGTTCCTGCAGGGATTTGAAGAAACTGATAAGAAACCAAGAAAGCAATCAAAGCAGGAGGACATGTGGAATACAAAACCAAGAAAGGGTTCTTAAATGAACTCTAAAGTTCCCATTTCTAAACATGTGATGTGTGTGGGGGGAGGTGGGAGGGGTGTATGTGTGTGTGTGTGTGAAATGAAGAGGGAAAAGAAAAATACAGGATTTAATGAGAAAACGAACTGTTGAAAATTGCCAAATTGTGTCTGTTGATAATCATATACCAGAGACTGGGTAAATTATAAAGAAAAGAAATGTATTGGCCTCATGGGTTGTGGCCCAAGGTTGAAGGGAATCATCTGGGGAAGCCATCTTTCAGATGTCATAAGACATCATGATGGTGCCACACAAAGTCTTAGACCTAGCCAAGATCACTTCTACAACCAGGCCACTCATAAGATATCTCATTGACTAGTAATCTCAGTGAATGGATTAATATATTTGTGAGGAACAATCCCTAATGACCTCTTATAGGACGCACTTTGTCCTATCTCTTACATTTCAACGTGGGTTCTCATGGTGATCTACCTTGTTTAAACAACAGCATTAAGAAAAAATCTTTGTCAAATTTGTTTTAAAGAAGACATTCTTCATTTTAATGTCACAGCTTCATGCCAGTCTTCCATATTCCAGAATAAATCTGGAATCCAGATTCTGGTTTCCAGAATAAATTTTTCTCGGGGAGGAGACTGAGCTCATGGAAAGATCTTGCATCCACTGTAGGGCAAGTTTAGCCTTGATTTTATGACTGCCGGGCATAATTGAAATTGTTTCCCAATGTCTAGACCTGACCTCTAGTGGAGTTAGGGTATCATTTTTCTGACTGATGAAAGGGAATTGGTTTAAATGCCAAATCTTCTGACAGATTGATATAAAATTTCTGTGCATGGTTATAGCTCCAACATTATCATGAAGACCTCTATGATGGAGTACAAACAATGGGCAACACAGCAAAACCTGGAAGACTCCAACATCTCACAGGATGCAATTCCTGAAACTACCAATGTTCTCTACACTTTCACCTGTTTTTTTCACAGTTATGTGCAAATTCATAATCATGTTAGCTTCTCATTTGGAGCAAGGTTGCTGTGTGCTATCCCATCCTCCTCCTATGCTGTGATGTCTGCTTCTTCTTCAGGTCTGGAGCATGGCTCAGTTGTCATCACATCGCAGGCAGTGGATGCCTGCTTCAAACCAGACTTTGAGCAGCAGCTCCAGGGGAAGCAGATGGTTCTGAGTGCAGACCTGGAAGAGCAGCTGGTGCAGGCATTTATGTGGTGCTCTGCAGACTTGAGCAAGTTCACTACTGTCAAGGAAAATACCAAGGGGAAGCCCTTGCCTGTCACCTAGCCCACTTTCTGATGGTGAGCTGCTTTCAGGGATGCTTTGGCCATATGGGAGCTCAGAACCCATTTTCAGCATTTCCATGGAAGTTGTAAGGATTAGATGTACACTTGTGAGATCAGGAAGATCCTGGGTGGGCCTGCACTGTCTCTTATCCTGAGATCACCAGAATTCAATAGCAGCTGACAGCATGCAGGTGGTTCTCATATGTCTGCTGCAGGGAGAGGCGATCTAGTTGGCGCCCACTGCTTCTACAAGGAGAAGAAGTATCTGCAAGCCACCCATGCAGCATGCATCTGAAACATCAGGATGGAATCTTCAGTCTTTGCTTCCCTGTGCAGTATGTGTATCCTTTGAGGTATAGGGGAACATGATGACCTGGGTACCATTCCTTCTTCATCTCTGCTCTGCTGGGCCTTCCTGGAGTCTTGCTATGGTTCCTCTTCCTGGGGCACTCCAGTACTTGTTTTGTTGTCTTCTGGTGTTTGAACTTTATGTACTTTATCTTACAAGTCAGTTTCTGATCAAGGTGTCATTGCTGTGCCACTATGTACAACGTGGTTTTATTGTCACTTGACAATATGCAGGATCCTTACTGTCCTTTCAGAAAAGGAAGCAGGAAGGAAGGAAGAAAGGAAGGATGATGGAAAGGAGAGAGAGCAGAGAGAGAGGGAGAAATAAAGAGATTCAATCCAGCTCATATCTTGGCTTGCTGGCCAATGAGATTTTCCCAGTACTACAAAGAGCTTGACATTTATCATGGTTTGACCTTCCAATTGTGACTAATTTGTGCCTTGTCCCAAGCTGGGCTTCAATTCCAGCTCCAGTTTCCAAAATTCCCTGTGTCTCTTTGACTCAGCACACATGTGTTCTTCAAGGCAACTGGAAGTGACCCTGAGATTCCCTCCCTTCCTTCCTTTCTTTCTCATTCTTTCACTTTCTTCTTTCTTTTTTCCTTTCTCTCTCTCTCTTTTATTCCTTCTTTCCTTCCTTCCCTTTCTTTCTTTCTTCTTGCCAGACTGGAGTTTGTACTCACTTGCCCAGCAGATATTCTATAATGTAAACTATGACTTTGGCCCTTTTTAATTTAATGAATTTTCAGATAGGTTCTCTATTTTTTCTAAACCTGGACTACCTGTTAGCTCTGATCTACCCAGTCCCCACATCCTGAGTAACTGGGTCCACAACCATGAGACCCAGTGTCCAACTTGCTTGGAAATTTTTTTGGAAGCAAAGACAAGAGGTGAATATAGATAGAGCAAGGTGGAGTGTGATTGGTCAGAGCTTCTGGCATTCCTAGACACAAACCTCTCTTGTTCTGCTCCTCACATCAAATTCCTAGATTAAAGCCTGGGTTTGACCTTCATATCACCAAGAGCTTGGAAATATTGTGTGCTTATGCTGAGTCTGAAATTGTAAAGAACGCCTTCTTTCATCATTGCTATGTTTGGAGGCAGCCTTGTGAATTCTGAGGGAGATATCATCTGCACTTCAGTGTGTCTTCTTCATAAGTAGGGCACTGTCTTGACCAGAGTTTCTTAATGCTGGCTTGGTGATGTCAGTGAGAATGGAGCTCTGACCTTTAATTTGCACAGGAGAAAAGATGATAAATTCTGTTCATTTGATGGGTGACACCTTAGGGCCCATGGATCCAATTTCAGATATGTTGCTGGTTGGTTCATGATTTTCAACATTGGCAAGGAAACATCCGTTCCTATTTCTAGAGTAGAATTTTGGTCTGTTTCGTTACTATGGAAAGATAGGCATGTCAGCTATCATTGATATTAGCTCAATATAAAAGTTCCAGAAATGGTAAGTTGTCATGTTAGACATGGAAGAAGCAGAGTGTGGTGTCCACACATCTAGACCCCTTTACACAGGAGGCTGAGGAGTGATCATGGGGAGTTCCAGCCAGCCTGTCAAATTACATTATGTTTTATGCCATAATGAGAAAGGTAATCTTTCTAAATTAGTTATTGTTCTGTTTTATAAAAAGCATTTTCTTATAGGATTCTGGGGAGGTAATTCAATAATGTTAATGAAGGGTAGTAACATGACTAATGAGATTTTATTTTCCTGAAATTTTATATTCTTACATGTGTTAGATGAAATAATTTTACATGTCCTCATTTGCACTTAAGTGAAGACAGAAGTAATTACACACATGAAAAGTAAATAAAAGCAAAGTGTGGCCCTTCTAAGTACACCAACTGGCCTTCTATTCATCAGATGGGGACCTGGAATATAACATTTATTCACAGAAGAAATGGAAGATGTCAAACAGAAGACAAAACACCAGGGACTCTAGGAAGACACTCACCCTCAAATCGTCACAGGACTCTGTCTCTTTTGTTCAATTGTACACCTGCTTCCCTTGGTGAATTCTGGGAAATTTTGGGGCCAGGGCCTTCCTCTTCTGCTCCTTTTGCTTAAGGAAGAAACAATGTTAAGTGACTATGCCCTGATTATCCACCACATGGACAGAAATGTTCCTGGGTTGCATGCTATTGAGTGTTTCTTTTGACTCATGCAGTGCATCACCATGACCTGTACTGAGTCTGCTCCCTCCCTCATGGAGCAGCCTCCCCATAATTTCTGATAGTTCTCTTATGTCTCAAATTAAGTTTCAAGCAGATTACACTCTTTTGTATCTGTTCCTAGACCTCTGCCACTTACTGGTTGAATGTAGACTTATATCTTGTTGCACTGAAGGCCACGCAGATCTGGTCTATTTGTTTGAATATTCTCTATTATCTACTTTGCCTGGCCAGAGCTTTACAAATCATGGAGGCCTGGACATGTCCTTAGCCTTAGTGCCTGAAGTTAATTTTCACCTGTCCCATTTCTCACCCTGGTCCCTGCTCTCTTTCTCTATCAGCTTGCTGAAAAGCCCCAGCCTTTTGAACAATATGGGGGTTTCCATGTTTCCTGGTTCTCTTTCTGCTTCTTTGTGTTCATGGGCAATGGGGCCATGGCCCCAGCCCAGCACTTGATGGGATACATCATGCTCCTTTCAGTGTGCCCAAAGGCTTCACACTCCTTGCACTTCACTGTACGTGGAAAAGGAGCACTGCCATTGGATCTGAAAAATTTCCAAAGAACTCTCAAATGCCTATAATAGAAGAGATTTTCAAGTCTTAGTTTCCTATTCTATTCAGACAAGACCAAATCATGTTTGTCCTATTTATTGCTAGATTTTAAAATGATAATATGTTCTTCACAATGACCTTATTAGGAAGGATATAGAAAGGAGGTTTTCAGTCTACAGATGTGATAATGCTCTAGAGATAAGCAATAGTACAAAATGCTTCTTCAATATGACCCTCCATAAAAGTGAAATTTCCCCTCAGAGTCACTGTATGGTTCTTTCTCCCTGTGAGGAGTTTCCAAGTAGGAAAATCAGGCATGAGAAGGAAGAATTGATTAAAGAGACAATCACCTGTGACCAAACCTAGGCTGTGTGATTTATGGAGCACCCTGGTTACAGAGACAAAGCCTCCACTTACTCTTGGATCTTCCTCTTCTGGTGGGGGAATCATAGGCCTGTCTGGTCTCCTCTGCTGATTCTTCCCATTCATAACTAGAGATAGTCTGTGGGGCACGCTGGTAGGGAAAAGATCTGCCACCCTCCTTGTCTCCTTTCTGTCAGCTCAGCAGTCCTCAGTTTGTGATTATGGATTTCTTGAAGCACAAGAAAAAGGTATGTGCAGAACAAATTAAATGAATAATGAAATAATATAAGCTTTCAGTTACCATTGCAAAATCTCCAGGTTCCATACAAGCTCATCACTGCCCTAGAAAAATCATAGCATTCTAGAATATATCCTTGAAATTTCAACCGTCTTGACTAAGAATGATTGCTTTTCTGAGTTTTCCTTTTACAGAATTCCTACTGAAGTTGAAATGATGACTTCTTCTCTTTCAGTACTATGGTGGAACCACAGACCTTGTGTACATCAGGCAACAGCTCTACAAATGAACTTTATTTACTCCTTTTTATTTTTTTTGTCATTTTTGTTTGTTTTCATAGAGGATCTTAATTATGAACCACAATTTTTTGTGCATTCCCCATATAGCACAAGTATATCTGTCCCTCTCTCCTCCACCTGCCACAAACTCCATGAAGCTGGGATTTCAGCCTTGCACTATCAAGCATAAAGAAAATAATTTTTCCCTAATACTCAAACATGCATTTTCTATATATCTCCCAGCATAAAAATTTCTTAACAACAATCTGAACAACAAATGAGAAATAGAATCAAACTTGAAATTCAGTTGTCTTCCCTTTGAGTGTCAGAAAGTTTCCACAAAGATGGGTCTAGAACAACAGCCCTGAGCCTGATGCAGCTCCCGGGATGCTGGTAGAAAGGCAAGTGTGGAAAAGTGGCTCCCAAATGCTTTTTCTGTAGATGCCAAGAACAGGTGATTGCACACATCAAGTAATCTAATTATTTTAACCCAATCACAGGGAATTTCATAATCTCTCAGAAGGAAAGCTGTGTGAGTACTTCCTGTTTTGTGTTTTCTAGATTCTATTCTAGATTTCTATTACTTTGTGTTTGCATGATCAGTTTTTGCTTTCACTTTTGCTGTTTGGTACACCTCAAATGAGAGGACTGGACAAAATTAGTTTGAATTATATTTGTTTTTATAAAGGGTTTCAACTATTAACTACCTTTTTTGTGAAGTCCCTATAGAGCTCAGGAATATCTGCCCATCTCCTCTAACTGCCACAAAGTCCTTTGAGCTGGCATGTCAGCCTTTCACAATCAGGAATAAAGAAAATGATTTTTCCTTAATAGCCAAACATGCATTTCTTCATTTTCCTTCCTGTGTAGTAATTTCTGAACAACAATCTGAACAACAAATTGGAAATAGAATCAGACCTGAAATTCAGTTGTCTTCCTTATGTGTGGCAGAATGTTTCCACACAGGTGGGTCCTGAAAAACAGCCTTGGGACTGATGCATCTTCCAGAACACTGCAGAAAGGGAAGTGAGGAAAAGT